ATTCCCTGGCTATACACATGCCATCTCCGTTTTGGTGGGAAGGAAGTGCTGGGGATTGAACCCCGGATTGCTTGCATGCTAAACATCCATTCTACTACTGAGCTACACCCCCAGCCTTGATTTGCAAGTCTTTGTCTTCTGCCTTGACTCATGGATCAAGACTTGAATGTCTACAAAGCGCCATAAACTCAACATTAAGCTCATTTTATTCCCCCCCCAAACGGGCTTTTTCTTTAGAACTGTCTTAATAAAATGTCTGTACCACTCACTCCATTGTCCAAATTAGAAACCCCAGAGCTGTTCTAGATGTCTTGTTTCCCCCTTCACTGCCTAACCTGAACTGACCCCCAAGGCCTACAGTCTACCTACCGCTTGTCTTCTGAGTCCTTTGCCCCCGACACTGCGGGCACCGCCCTGGTCCCAGCTAGTGTTGGCCATCACTGGGACCGACCATCAACTTCCCTGACCTCATCTTTCAATCTGTTTCTCTCTGATCTGATCCCCACTCTGCAGCCAGACTCTTTCTAAAATGCCATTTTCTCACATGAAATGCTTTCAGGCCCTCTAATTGCCCTTGATATTGTATGAAGCTGTGAGTCTTTGCATCCTTCACCAGCTAACCCCCGCCTCCTGCACTGATGAAAGCTATGCCTAGAAGGGGCTTGAGGAAGGACCTCTAAGACAGAAGCTATGGCAAAGCAGAAGAAAACAGGGACTCTTACTAATGGTCAGTTTTCTAAGGAAATTATGTTATGTAAAAGCTTTATTCTTTCTCCCGTTTAGCAGAGACCAATGTTGCCTCTCTATGTTAATCATTTTTCCTGTCTTGTTAATTATGTCACAGATCTTCTCAGAACTAGACCAATCCAGGCGTGGTGGCTCATGCCTGTGATCCCAGCACTTGGGAGGCTGAGCCAAGAGGATCCATGAGCTCAAGGCCAGCCAGTTCTACACAGTGAGTTCAAGGCCAGCCTAAATTACATCCTATTACCCTGTCTCAAAAAACAAACCAACAAAACAAACAAAAAAGAAAATAGATCAAATCAAACTGAATTATTTTTTACACTCACGATACATGGATATGAGTTGTGATTGAACTACACGGTAAATGTTTAAATTTTAAAAAGTGGACATTTTTTTCTGCAGTGAACTTATAAATTAGTTGCATCCCCATCCCCCATCTCTCCTCCACCCCACTCTGGTTGCAGGGAAAGTTTCTGTTCTCAGAAACTCAAAGGCCAGAAAACAGCAGGGCCTCAGCAATGACTGGAACCAGACGCACCAATGCTGCCTGCATTCTGTCTGCATCTCACTGGCTTCTTTCTGTTTGCCTGCCTCATTTTTTAATTTTTTCTGGAGTAGGGGAAGGAAAATGTGATGCCTGACAGCTAGTGACCTCACAGCTGAAAGCCTTGGGCTCTGAGAATGACCAGCCTTTCCCTGTCTGCAGATGCAGACCTCCAGGTGAGGAGTGAGAAGAGCCCAGCCCGGCCCAGGTGCCTGCAAGTGGGCAGAATCATGGTCCACAAGGTGGTGGCTTCCATGGTAACCACGCGTGTGTGTGTGTGTGTGTGTGTGTGTGTGTGTGTGTGTAGTAGGGGAGGGACTGAAGAGTCATAGGTAGGTACTATCAGAAGGGAAAGAGCTCTGTGTTTATAAAACAATATCTTCACAACAACATGAAACATTATTAAAATTAGAAAAAGTGTATGTTATTTTAAAAAATATTGTAAGTTATTTACAATACCTGTTTTGTAAATCAGCACTAATTTACCCCTCTCATTTTTAAACATCTAAATGTTCTTTTTTCTGGGTACCGGGAATCGAACTCAGGGACTCGTACTTGCCAGGCAGATGCTGCACTGCTAGGCTACAGTCCTGGCAACACCTACATATTCTTACCAGCTGTCTCATAAATTCTACTAGCCATTAAGCCATAAAATGTAGAGCTCATTTGCTTCAGCCTGGTTGATTTAGAAAGGATAAACTCAAGCTCAGAGCAGATGAAAGGATTTGCCCCCCGAGATTAGCGGAATGTGGTCTCCGGCTGCTTTCTTATCTGGTTGCCGTCTTCCCCGCCAAAACCACGCACCCCTCACACAGCCCCTCCACACCTGAACTGCTGTCCCAACACTGCACAGAACAAAGACTGGAAGGCAGCAGACCTACAGCCCCGCGACATCACTGCGTTACTCTCCTGTGTGTCCTAGACCACACACTCATTGGAAAACCTCAAGTGTTTTTTCCTGCATGATTAATTCTAACTCACTGACATTCAGCAGGGCACGTGTAGGACAAAGAGCTTTCAAGGACATGCTGGAGAGGAGACAGGCTTTTTCTGAAGGGAGGAAACTCGTGCCCACAAAGGATCTGGGAGTCAGAATACCTGGACACATCCAAACAATGGGATTGCTCTGAGTGGCTTCTCTCCACCTCCAATTATGTTTCATTAAAAACAAAAAGCACACCTTTGTACTTGTGGAAGAATGCAGCACACACTTATGGTATGAACTGTCAGTCAGGTCTACATCCCCTAGTTGGATGTGTTCCACAGCCTGACTCATCTTTCAAGGACAAGATGGCGAGAACAGCAGTGAACAGTGACAACAAAGTTTCTGAGGTCTGGGTTAGGGGAAGCAAGCTGTCATTCCATGAGCTGGCTCATGGAGAGGCCCACATGGCAAGAAGCATTGAGGTCTGCCGGCAGCTCCATGCGGGAGCTTGGAAATGGTTTCTCCTTCAAGTGAGTATTGAGTGACTACAGCTCCAGAGGACCTGGCTAAGCCATGCCTAGGAACTGTGATATAATAAAAATTACTATTATTATTATAATTTGGTTTTTTGAGACAGGGTCTCCCTATGCAGTTCAGGCTGGCCTTGAACTCACTATGTAAGCCAGGCTGGCTTCAAACTCTTGGGGATCCTCCTGCCTCAGTCTCTTTAGTGCTGGGATTACAGGTGTGCACCCCCATGCCTGACTAAAATTGATTATTTTAAGCTACTAGATTTTGGAGTAATTCGTTACACAGCAATAGTTGGCTAACCCAATTGGTCAGAAACTACCTCGTGTTGAGAACATGTTATAAATTTCAAAAAGTAGAGGTTATTTATTGCTCAGCAGCAGACAAACTGTGAAACAGGGAGATCATAAGAGACCTGGGGTGGAGGAATCACAAGCCCTCTGTGCTGCCATGGTCCGGCTTAGGTCCCGTTTTCTAAGGTGTGGGTGTCATTTTCCTAACCTAACAGGAGGCTCCTAACGGTAATCTAAACAACCCGCTTCAGTAAAACTTTATGTGTCCTAAAATATGTTGAGGACGAGCAGGGCCCTGGGGAAGGGGGAGAAGATTTCTCAGCGCAACACTGGCCCGGTGAGAGGAGGAGACTCCGGGGAGGGCCTGGCAAAGAGTCAAAGCCGGAGCGGGAAAGGCGGAGTCAAGGGGGAAGTCCGGAGGATTCAGTGAAGACCCAAGCAGACAAACGGAGGCCTCACTGGATTGGTGAGAGAAGATTTCCATACCTCTCTAAAGAAGGTCCTCATTCTGTTTAAGTTAAAATTGATGGCGCATACACTGAGTTCTATCGGCCCACTTCTGAGTCGAACTTTCCTGCTTGTAACCCCAGAGGTTGACCTCAGCTTGGCTGAGGTTGGTCAGTTTTGTGTATAAAAGCCCCTGGACAAGGGCTGGGGATGTAGCTCAGTGGGACCCCGCCTACCTGGCAAGCGTGAGGTCCTGAGTTCAATTCCCGACACTGAGAGAGAAAAAAAAAATTCCTCAAACGGTGAGCTAAAATAAACTTCTCTTTTAAGGTGAGAGTGTCAGGTATTTTAAAAAAACCAAAACAACAAAAAAGCAAAAACCCTGGACAGAGTCCCTTGGGCAATGTATTGGGTTCCCTCTCAGGTTCATTTGCCTAAGGGCTGTTTGCTTTTGCTTTGCAATAAATGCTGCTTTCTGCTTTCACTCTCCAATAGTTTGCTCAGCCTCTTTTGACTGCTGCCATGTAATTCTTCCCGGGTTGAAAGAGGATCCAGGTGCTACAAACTGGAAGAGCAATTCAGTGTGAAAAGATCCTAATGAGCTGGCAAATCTTTTTAAAAGCGCTCTGACTACAAATCTGGTGGTTTTCATGACTACCACAGTCCTTAGAAGATCACCAGGAAATTCCTAATACATTATATATTTTGGCGTGGAAGCATCTGGGAACATGGCTTTTTTTTTTTTTTTTAAGAAAAATGGAGCTGGGCATCATGGCACACACCTGTGATCCCAGCACTCCAGAGGCTGAGGCAGAAGGATTGCCATGAGTTTGAGGCCAGCTTGAACTACACAGAGAGACCCTGCCTCAAAAAAAAAAATTTCTTTTTAATTTAAAAAAAGAAAATGGATGTGCATTGTAAATTCTGGGTTTTGTCACCAAAATTAAGTAAAATATTTATAAACTCAAATCATTAAATATTTAGGAAAATAGATTTCCTTTCTTTTCAACTACCATGGATGTTTTTGATCCATAGTGCTATATGAGTTGCACGCTAGGAGGACACTTCCTTAGTGTCCCTTAGGAACAAAGCAGTGCAGTGAACATTCGCCCCCCCAAACGCTGTGTAGACTGAGACCTAACAGTTTACACAGGATGTAAACCATGCTTCATGTGATTCAAGCTATTGGAGAAAATGTGGTAGCCAGTACTTTCAACCAGGGTCCTCAGCTTTTTTTGACACTAGGAACTGGTTTTCTAGAAGACAACTTTTCCATGGAAGGGGAGAGTTGTGGGGGGTGTGGGGGGTGTCAGGATGAGTCAAGGGAGTGTGTAGCCTAGAACCCTCCCACACGCAGTCCACAGTAAGGTTCATGCACTCTTGGGTCAACTTGGAACGCCCAGCTGAACTGAATCAGCGTGGTCTAGGCGTGGAAGACCCACCTGAGGATTGTTGCCATGGCATAAAAAGAGAACTGGAGGGGAAGACTGGGGACTGTTGATCTTCTTGGAGAAGCTTGCTGCAGCTGGTTTTCCTGATGTGCACTCAGCTGTTCCCATAATCAGAGGAGCTCAGTCTTCGCCGTCACCGGGAATGGCTGCTGGTCTTTGCCTTGAGCGTGTCTAGCTCCAGTGCAGACCCCTCAGCCTGGTGGCATGGACCCTTCAGCCTGCTGGAGCAGGCTTTCTATTTTGTACCACTGGCCTTTCGGCCTTCCTGATGCAGATCCTTGATACAGACTTGCAGGAGACATTGCCGTGGGCTCTAGGGTTGTGGCTGGATTCATGGAGGACATTGCTGTGGGATCGCGGCCTCAGACAGATCTCTTGCACTCCTCTGCATTTGATTTTTTTGGGTAAATATTACAAAATAATCCTGTAAGTTATGTGTCCTGTATTAAACCTATTCCCTTGCAAACCCTGACTGCAACATGCTCCTCCTAGGAGAATCGAATGCCCCCACTTACAGCAGGCAGAGCTCAGGCAGAAAGGCAAGCATGGGAGCAGCTGTAAATACAGACTGTAAGTATCACGGTCAGGCCGGGAGGAATTCAAGGCACCCTGTTCCCCACACCTCTTTTAACTAAGGTGCACTCGGCTGGGAGCAAGAGTCTGGGGAGGTAAGGGCAGGAGGGTAGCACCTTGTTCCACTGAGTTTCCTGAGTGCATGCAGAGGAATGCTGGGATCTCAAGCCCTGAAACCATAACAGTGATTTGGGGAATCATGGTAAAGAGTCACTCGGTCTCACTTCCTGTATGCAGCCCTATGAAAGGCCATATTTCCTAGAATTCCCCAAGCAACACAGAAAGTGGTGAGAAGATGGCGGGACAGGCCATGTTGGAAGTGAGGCCTGAGGTAGTCTGGAGTGGAAAGTGAGGAGGCAAGATCTTTTTCATACTCTCAACGCTGCTCTAGAGCTGCCAAGAAAGAGGGTCGAGGGATCGGAAGGGACTTGTGTAGAAAGACAGCACACAGCTAGAAAGGCAAGCATAGAGCCGCCTCATCTGTCATGTTTCTCTAATCTGATCTTGAGGTATCTTTCTAGGCAGTGCCTATAAACTTTAGTGCTGCCCTGATAGGTTTCTAGTGGCTTTGGTCCTGGATATTTGTGACATGCTTTTCAGATACCTAAAGTCCCACCCGGGACCAGCTGTCCCTCTCATAGGAAACACGACGCTGGCAGATGCCCCTGTGACTCTTGTCTGACCCATGCCCAGTTTATTCCTTCCAAGACAGCCAGCAAAGAAGTTAGGTTCAGGTGAGGTACACAGAGTGCACGGAATAACAGGAGCAATTTATTACTTAGAGATCCCAGAGAGAAGAGGGCAGTGGGCTTCCTTTGCAGGGATAAGGGGAAGGGGAGAGTTGTCTGGGACCCACATGCTGAGTCAACTGGGGATCAAGAGAGAGGAAGAGAGAGACTTGGCCAATGCATTTATTGGTGTCCAAGGTGATAACCACAACAAAATCCCCTAGCCTGGAGAATCCCCTAGAAACCCATCAGGGCAGCACTAGGGTTCCCCACAGGGAGTTCTACTTGGTAGGTAACAGTAGGCAGGCACAGATTCCTTGGAGTTTTTCTTTGACCCGAAGGTGGTCACTATGGCTTATCTGCAAGTGCACATGAGGTGTGGGGATCAGTAGATCACACTGAGTAGATTATACCCTGTCCAGTGTGGAAGTGACCAAGAGGTGGTTGCATAAGGCAGGCACTGCATCTGTGTTGGCCACACTGAGAAACTGGAAGGAAGCAAGAACTGGAAATTGTGTCAAGGTGGACTAAGCCCTGCTTCTGACCTGAGGAAAGTTCAACTTATAGTCAAAATGGATGCCAAGGCAACCTAGAATTATGGGAATTCATGGCATACCTCCAATCTCATGGCCACATCTTAGTAGTTTGACTCAGTATTATCTACCCCGGAAGTAGCTCTGAGAAAAAAGTGAGAAAACCCCAAATCAACTGAAACCACTGTGAATTGATAGATCACCTCAAATGGACTAGGATTAAGTTTTCAGACAAGGGCAGAATGAAGGATTTAGATAGAAATCAAATCCAATTATGGACAGACAAGATTATGCACACCTAAGTTTGTGTCCCGTATAATAAATTGGCAGGCTTTATTTAGTCACACTAGTTGAAATGTGGTTTGAAAAGCCATAAATTATACCATGAAATTTTCATGACATTAGAGGTTAAAACATTCAAATTAGCATTTCTTCAGTCCGCTTCCATTTTTGTCATGCATGGATTTGGGGGTGAGCCTCAGGCAGTGAGTTTTTCCCTCAAGTGCCATCAACATCTCTAAATACAGTAACAGATCTCTCTACTACAATGATCTCTCTTTGAACTAACATTGGAATTCATGAAATACAACACAAAATATTAGTCATAAGTGTAGCTGCTCTTTGGAGGGCAAAATCAAGCTGCTATGTGCTAATGAAAATTAATTCTTTAAACTTTTTACTTAGGGTGCCAGTTATTTTAGGTTTACTCCTGTCTGCAGAATTATTTTACATAGTTTACTCAAGAAAAAATGTCCTGTTCAAGGTTTTTGTTTGTTTTTCCAGTGCTAAGAATTGAACCTGGTCCTGTACATACGCTAGGCAAGTGCTTACACCTGAGTCATTAAGCAAGGGAAATTACTATCTTTGCCTTCACTTTCCACTTCCTCATAGGTCTTCAACTACAGCAGAGAAGCCCTGTTGGAGACAGAGAAGGTGGGATTTATTTATGGTGCTGAGGATTGAACCTAGGCCCTTTGCACTGAGCAATGTCCCTAGCCCTTTTTAATTTTTTTTTGAGATAAGGTCTTGCAAAATTGCTATTTTCCAGGCTGGGCTTGAACTTGTGACCTTCCCACTCAGCCTCCAGAGTGCGGGGATCACAGACATGCACCACCACACTCAGCCAGGTGGGTCAGTTAAAAAAAGGGTAGTCTGAGAGCTCCAAGTAGCCCTTCATTCATCTAGTTAACTAACATTTAGAGCACCTACTATGTCTAGGTACCATGCCCTACCGGAAGGCTGAAATGAATAGAACATGGGCTTTCTCTTGAAGAACTCTATAGTCAAAGAAACCTCAAACTAAATTCCACCAGACATAACAGATTTGAGCTGGGAGTGGTTATACAACCCTGTAATCCCAGTACTCAGGAGGCTGAGGCAGGAGAACTGCTGTGAGTTTGAAGCCAGCCTGGGCTACATAGTGAGTTCAAGGCCAGCCTGAACTACATAATGAGGCCTTGTTTTAAAAAACAAACAAAAGGGCCTGGGGATTTAGCTAAG